ATTTTGCACTGTTTCACCATTTTTAAAGTTTGTATGTTAACAAAATAATGGGAAATCACTTTCACAAGAAAAAACTGAGAAAATCCGATGAACAATAACACTAAACAATCTCTACAACGCCAACTGTCAAAACAAGTTGATGGAATTATGAATGAATATTTTATATTCCGTTGTCTAAGCTCACAATAAACAACGTAATATGCCCCGCCTACAAAATACTAGCTGTTGCCACATCTCGTAAAAAATACTTAATATCCAATATACCACTAACAAGTTTTGGAATTTATTGAAAATAATTACATCTAATTTAGTGAAATTATATCTAATTTAGTTAAATTTGATATAACAAATTATTCAACATTTTTTGGGTTCAGTTGCAGTAAAATGGGTTGAATTATTTTAGCTTTTTTAATATATGTAAATAATTTTGTAAACAAAACGAGAATAATGAAATAGGCATATGACAACAGCGGATATTATACCCTAGTGTGTCCCTTAGAATATGTCTTATTCACGACAGCACGATATTTGTAAGTAACTACATCTCCTGTTATCTCTGGGTACGGCTAAGGCAATACATAACTTGAGGCATTATGCCATGCTCTATGCAACAACCTCTCATGTAGGTTCTTCTAATATATAGTGGATGATTTTTTCTGAACAAGTTCGTATTTAGACTTGTGAAACTTCTTTTTATCAGTTAAAAGTTATTTATGATACTTTGACATTTTGGAAATATTTAATGTTAATTCAATATGCTAAACACATGTGAACTTTGGATTAAACACCTCACTTTCAGTTATATTACCAATGAAACAAGGCCGCAGATTAAAAATTATAAATTATAGAAACCATTCTGCAACAGGTCAATCTTACAATGATAATACAGTCCATCAGATTGGCCACTATAGAGCCGTATTTAAACTATGTATGTAAATTGATTTATGAATTCTACAGCTGGATATTACATTTTCCTTATATTACCACTTAATATAACAGATTTTAAAACGTTCTCTGTAGAGATATTCTTTGTTTTAAAAATATTCATCAATTATTGCAAAAAGTTCAAAATTGTCTGACAAAGTGTAAGTGCCGGCAACGATGGAATAACCTCAAAAGTCAAGACTATACTCGGACAAAATATTGAAGAAGGTGATTCCTCCCTGTTCATGTACAACAATAATACTATACCAGAGCATAATGAATGGAATCACGCGCTTAAAACTGCAGAAGTTATCGGAATCACGTGCCAACTAGTCATAATTGCATGCTTATTACCAAAATGAATTACGCCAGTGGCGTATAAAAACTATTGGCAAATTAAATGCGGTAATAGTAAATAATATTATATGAAAGTAGGTTGGTTATCTATTTTTGTAGTAATAATCATATATGTTTATAATTTTGTTTTGTTTATTGTTAAAATATGTAAATATTATGCCAGTGGCGTAGAAACACTATTGGAAAATTAAATGGGGTATTATACTAGAACAAAATATTGAAGAAGGTGCGCCTTAAAACTGCAAAAGGTATCGTTATCATATCAAAATGCACTCTTCCAGTGTCGTAGAAATACTATATTGGCAAATTAAATGGGTATTTGTGAATATTACTAGATGAAAGTAGGTTGGTTATCTATTTTTGTTATAATAATTCATCTATATTTATAATTATATTTTGTTTATTATAAAAATATGTAAATTAAGCTTGGTATCACTTACTTGAATTCTAAATCTATGAAGTTTCGTAATCCATTGATTTTGCAGAACTATCACTGGCATCGTCTTTATCGTCGGAACTTAAAGTTGTGACTAAGGGTTCAACTACCGTTTCGATCATACCGTCCAAGCGTCACATATTATTTTCTTCCTTAACTACATGGGAAATAGCATTCTGCCAATCTTCAGGTTTTATACGTTCTATATCGGTTTTTAATAAACTTTGAACGTCGGCTATTTTAAAAGTTTTATTTTCTCGAGCTACAAACCCTTTCACTTGCGCCCAAATTTGTTCAATAAGATTGAATTTGCAGTGATAAGGGGGAAGTCTTAATTCCGTCATACCACGATCACGAGCCATTGTGTCGACCACATATTGAATATATTTATGGCGGTGTTCCTTTATTATGTTCATTAATTCCACTTTAAGCATATCCTCAGTAAATGTAATTGCTTTATCCCGCAGCCAGGTGTGCATATCCGCTTTCCTACTGGACATTATCGGAATGCGTTCAACTCGTCGACTGTGATAAGAAGCGTTATCTAGTACAATAACTGAATTTCATTCTACACGCTGTAATATTTCAGTAAACCACTTTTCAAAGCATTCCTCATTTATGTCCTCGTGGTAGTCTCCTGTTTTTTTCGATTCAAACACAAGAGCTCTATTTTCCAAAAATCCACTGTCACTTCCGATATGGGTAACAATTAGGCGCTGTCCTTTACCTGATGGAGCTTTCAAACGTGTAGATAATCCCTCTATAAAAGCTTGGCGATGACTAGTTACAGAAGTATCTTGCCATATCTTAGATACCGTGTGTCCAGCATTCACCCAGGTTTCATCGAGCTAGTATATCTTTTTTTTAGCGGCTCTAAACTCTTTAATATTTCGTAAATAACGCCGTCGCCAGGACACTATATCTGACCTCTCAATTAAAATTGATTTCCTACACCGTTTGACAAAACGAAATTTTAGGCCCCATAAAATTTTTCGTAAAGTTTCACGGCTCAATAATGGAATTTCTTCGTTTTCTCTTAATTTCGTAAGAACAACTTTAAGTGTTGGGGCTTTGTTTTCGAAAAAAAAAAGAATGTACAGAATGATTTGTTTTTGGTTATCGTCCAATTTCAACAATTTTCGTCCACGGGTATGCGTTTTAGGGGCTTCTAAGGAGCCTTTTTTGTCTTTTCGGGTACAATACGTTCAATTGTTGAAACAGATACTCCAGTTAAAAAAGAACTGCGGTTTACAGCTTCATTTGTAGGAAGTGTTTGTTTTAGCTCATCATACACTTTCCATATGTTCTTTTCATCCTTTGATAAGGGTTTTTGCCGACGTAATTGGGTTTCACTTGGACCCGCCTCTGAATCCATTACTATTGTAACAATATAATTCTACTATTAAATTGTTTTTATTAAATTTATAAAGACACCAATATTTTACTATTTAATAAACTTTTAAAGTACCTACTTAATATACTACATAATAAATATAACTCCTCGAATATGCACTACCACTACCAAATTGTAAGGCACAAATATGAACACCTACTCGTATATCAGAAAAGAGCACTGTTTATAAAATATAAAATAATTATCGTAACTAGTTAAAGCGATACAAATCTAACTTCGTCGAAAGTTAGTTTTCAACTGTCTTTGTGCCTGTGCTGACAATATTCAATCTGTAACCCGTCTGTCGTTTATTTACTTGAAACACATTTTAAAACCATTAAACACAGATAACGAAGTCATTAGGGAATAAATATATTCATTTCTTGAAAACTATCAAGAACGTCATCGCTCCGTGCGAAGTCATGGAAAGGGAAGCAAAAGCGATACTAGCGCTAGCTGCGGATAATTCGTGCATTTTAGGGGGATATTTTGTAATTTTGGCATATCAAATACACGTATACATTTTACTTTTTTTCAAAAAAGTAGGTAAAAACAACACAATAAGCAACCGGAGTTGCTGTGTTGAAAATTGTACAAATACTAGCAAAAAAAAAAACAGTGAAACTTATATAACAAATTTCACTAACAAAGTGGAAATTAAATCAAAGAAATAAATGGATAGGTGTACAATAAGAAGAAAAATTACCTTTATTTTTGTGATAATAACAGTAATGCTGGAAATAGTAGACATCAGAAACTAGAAAGTTTTTAAATAAACAATAAATTATCATTTTACGATGTTCTTTAATATCCCTTTATTCTTAAATGTTCATTCAGCAAGGACTAGATTTCAAGATTTCTGCCGTTGATTATAATATTTGGCTGGTATCCAATTTTGTGACTTAACTGATCGGAAACCAGTTTTAATCATTCATTCTATGTTTTCTTTGGAACAAAAATGAAAATATAAGTAGCGATCCTTTTTATACATTTTAACTTCACGCTATTATAAATGGTTTCTTCAATGACAACTTATTAGACTTAGGCAACTTCTCATACATTTTCCAGTAAATACTGTTGCCTGCCTATATCTTATTATTGATTTTTAATGATTATACATAATTTTCTTCAATTTAAGCGTGAAAAATATATAATAATAATAATAAATTAATGTTTTAATTGTTTTATAAATCCATATACTTTTATTAAACCTAACATATATACTTTTTATTTACGAATTCTATTAAAAATTGTATTTGTCAGTATAGGCAGAAATACTCCTTTAATACCAAAACAAATTGGCGCTGCTGTCGCGCACGGAGCGAATATTTAACGCATCATATTTGTTTAAATAAAGATGTTGACAAACAAATTTAATAAAGTTTACTAACAAATACCTAATAAATAATAAATAATTATTTGGTAATTTTCATTCATCGACAATAGTGTTGATCTTGCATATGACTCACCTTCTTCAATATTTTGTCCGAGTATAGTCAAAGCAAGACGCTCTATATAGTATGGGGCCAGAGATGAAATTTATACAATCGGTCAAATCGTTGTAGGATTTCTTGTACGTCAAACTTTGAAATAGAAACTTGATGCTTCCAGAAAATGATGCGTTGACGCTAATTAATTTTTACAAGTTGTATAATACAATTTATTACTTATCTAAATAACTTACTGCGATATTAAAGATAAATTAAATAATTCTTACGCGCCTGAACTAATTTTTTCGCCTTGCTCCTCTACACTCTGGTCTTATATATCGTTTACGGGCACAAAAAATCTCAGGACAACCTAATACATAGAACAAAAACGTTGATGTAACATTTTCATAAAAATATTAAATCTCTAGTCAGAAAATAAAGTAATGTATAATGTTTATAGATTTTTTGGCACCCCCAGTGTCGAAGCAAGACATCGTCAACGAATGCGGTCTAGGTAATGACATCTTCATTACCGATATCAATCCAAATGTTCTGGGATTGAACTTGGTGGAGTCCGAGGGAATGGTGGACACCTACGAGGATGTCTTCGAGTACTATACAGCGAAAGAATAAATGAATCGTGTAGAAGTTTTGCTTGGAATGGCTCAAATTTTTTGTACCTAACATGAATTGGTTTGTTTTTATATAGGATCTAGTTAATTTTATACATTAGATGATAATATGTGTGTTAAATGTTTTTAATTCTAGATTGAGTTTCTATTTAACTCTAAAATCTGTTCAAATAAATTGACAGTTTTAGCCAATTTAGTTTGCATAAAAAAAAAATGTACATACATTCCATTTTTCTTGTACTTCAAGTTTTAATATTTGAAATGGAAATATTTTTATACATAACTGGTTTCCAGGTCAATGTGTTTAGAGTAAATTTTATTTTTAGATTATAACAGCTTTGAATAAATCTATCTTAAAATTATATTTGTGCTTTTTTTTCTATTTCTAAAGGTTCGTAAGTTTTTACTTTCATGTCTGCATAGAGATAAGCAAAGTATAGGAATCATGATTTTTTCGACCTCGAGGTTTTCGACGAACTTTTATGTTTTGAGATCCCCTGGATTCGTTTTTACTATTTTCGCGATTATATCTGTGTGTATGTGTGGGGGAGTACTTTATTGGGGGTATTTTTCCTATCTGTTATTTAAAGAAGAAAATACTTTAAATAAAAGTTTTTTGTCCTATACACAATTTTCCTAAAATGGTCCATATTCGAGAAATTTGACAAAAGTGCAAAATTCGAATATTTAAGAAAATTGTTCAAATAAAACTTGTTTCTGATGTCATTCTCTATAATTCTTCTCTTATACATAATTTCTTTGAAATGGACCGTATTCAAGATTATTTGAGATAATGTACAATATGTTTGAATTTTGTAAACTCAAAAACGGATAGAAAGAAAATCACCAAATTTAAAATTTAAGCTTTAATCCAGTGGTCGCCGGAGGCAATTCTGGTAGCTATCACAACGATTTTAATTTAAAAAATACAAACTGCAAAAATCAGAGAAGCTTCCGAAAATTCCACAAAAAAATCTAATTGTCATAATATTAAACATAAACAACGGCAACGTTGCGGTGAGCGATCTGCCGCTGACGCCATCAAGCTAGAATCGGCTAGAACCGACCAGCCGGACCAGCGCGTTAGTGTTCGAGAACGATCAGGATTGCTTTGAACGGGATAAATACGCACGGCGCGGCGACATTGCGCTTAGTTTAAAACTGAACGCGTAACCAACGTCCAGCGGTTGGGTTAGTAGAGAACAACAAAAAATATTATGACAAGTAGTTGTAAGAAGGTAAAGATATACCACTTTCATTCGGAATGGGAAGAACAATACTTTTTTACAGAAGTTAAAGATAAAAATGTGTGTTTGTTATGTAATACAACGGTCTCCGTTGCTAAAAAAGGAAATATTGAGATACATCATAAAACTGTACATTCTAATTTTGAAAAATCATTCTCCCACTACACTCTGCCGCCAGAAAGGAGAAACTGAAACAGTTAAAAAAGCAGTTAATTGGACAACAATCAATATTTTTAAGAACAGTCGACAAAAATAAGGCTGCAACTGAAGCATCGTACCGTGTGTCCCAGATAATTGCACAAAAAAAGAAACCTTATGAAGACGGGGAAATGATAAAACAGGCGTTTTTAGAAGCTGCCGATTCGTTATTTGCCAACTTTAGAAATAAAGACATGATAGTTTCCGCTATAAAATCTATGCAACTTTCTGCTAATACAGTGATGAGACGTGTAGAAGTAATGAGCAATGATATTTTTTTACAGTTAAGAACTGACTTAGATAACTGTTTATTTTTCACTTCAACTGGGTGAATCAACAGATGTCGTTGACACTGCCCAGATGGCCGTGTTCGTCAGGATGGTTTTTAGTGATTTTACGATTAAAGAAAATCTTTTGAAGTTTATTCCACTGAAAGGACACACTACTGGACATGAGTTGTTTTCTCATTTAAAAAATATTATTTCTTCCGAGAAAATTCCAATATCGAAAATGATAGGCTTGACAACCGATGGCGCTCCAGCTATGGTGGGTTGTGATAAGGGTCTGGTGGCGTTATGTCGTAAAGATGAAACTTTTCCGCAATTTCTCTGTTACCACTGCATTATCCATCAGCAAACATTATGTGGAAATTTCCAGAAACTAAACAACGTTATGAAACTGGTGGTAAAAATTGTGAACAAGATTAGAGCTCAAGCGTTACAAAGAAGATTATTCAAAACCTTGGCCGATGAAGTTGACTGTCAATACGGGGACCTACTCCTTCACTCTGAAGTCCGATGGTTAAGTAGAGGACGGGTGCTGAAACGTTTTAATGATGTCCTATCTGGCATAGTTCAATTTTTCAAACAACGCGATGAACCGACTCCGGAACTAGAAAATTCAATCTGACTTAGAGATTTTGGTTTTCTCGTGGACATTACAGAGAAATTAAACGAACTTAATTTGCAGCTTCAGGGGAGAGACAAAGAACTAGCGGAAATGATTTTTGATATAAAAGCATTTATCAAAATGCTGGAGTTTTTGGGAACAAAACCTAATTAACAGCGATGCCAAGCATTTTCCTATTCTTTCAGAAAAAAATTCTCAAAATCCATTAGAACCCTATGACAGCAAATATCATGTAGAAATAGTTTCTACCCTGAAGAATAACTTCAAAAATCGTTTTAAGGATTTCAACGAAATGGCTTTAGTAGCGCAGTTTGTTGTTCCCAGATAGCACAAAGTCGTCTTAAAGACGTCTTTAAGACGTCTAGCATAAGACATTCGAGACGTCTTTAAGGCGTCTGGTATTTCCTGAAAGACGTCTGATGTTACAAAAAGCGACGTCTTTAAGACGTCTTAATAATAGCTTATATTGGTCTGTAGAGCTTAAAATAAGCCATAAATAAGACGTCTTTAAGACGACTTATTAATAGCTTATAATGGTCTTGTAAAGCCTTAAATAAGCCATAAATATGATTTCTTTAAGACGTCTTATTAATGGCTTATAATGGTCTTGTGAAGCTTTAAATAAGCCATAAATACGACGTCTTTAAGACGACTTATAATAGCTTATAGTCTTGTGAAGCCTTAAATAAGACGTCTTTAAGACGTCTTATTAATGGCTTATAATAGTCTTGTGAAGCTTTAAATAAGCCATAAATAAGACGACTTATTAATAGCTTATAATGGTCTTGTGAAGCCATAAATAAGACGTCTTTAAGATGTCTTATGAACGTAGGACGTCGGATATCTTGGTTATTAAAAATAGAACAACCTTGCAGATTATAAATAATGCAAAAAATAGAATTAAAATATTTATTGATAAAACATCTATTAATCACAGGTCGTCACTAAGAGTTATTTTCTTTGTAGTGCATTCGATCACTCCTCTTTAGCCATAACTGGATTGATTTTTCGCTTTGATTGCCTTTGTATAGCTCCTAAAAAGAAATTTAGTTGAGAGCATCTAGTCACAGAAAATTACACTTTGCAAAAGTTAGTAAAAACCGACAGAACAGTTATCTATAAAACCAAACAAAAAATTAATTTCTTACGCCTACTTTAACAATTTTACTTTAACTTCACTCAAAATGGCTATCTAATAGGGAGTTTTTGATATTATTAGTTCTCAAAATCTCCATAAAAACAAAAGAAATGATACTTGATGAATATCTGAATTTAATTTTATATTAAGATGTTTACTTTTAAATTAATTTAATTATTCTTAGATGAAACAGGATATTAATGTTCTATGTATATAAACAAATATTCATTTATTACCTGTATTCCAGGAACGTGCTGCATCGGTAACACAAACTATTCTTCCCTCTCTGGTTTTTGTTCCATAATATTTAAGTAGAAAGAGACACAAATGCTCAAAATAGCCCAAAGTCGCTTTTGGTGGCTATAATCATGTACGCAATAAAATAACCAATAATCCACAATGAGCTTGGGCCATACAAATTTTTGGATTGGGCTTGAATGTATTTCTTCTTTTCTTCGTTTTATATGGGCTCAATCTTTTCACTTTTCCACTGCACTTGATATTTGATTTCAATTATCTTCTCCAAATATTACACTGAATATTTTGTTTAATTTTGTATACTTTTTAAATTCGGATGGTCACTTTTATACTAGATATTTTGTGATTTTTATGGGATTTCTTGGCTCCCGATTCGGAGAACGCCATTTCAATATTGCCACGATGGTGTCCGAATCGGAAGTCCAGCTTGAATATAATGTTAAATCAAACGTCACTTTATTTGATTTTTCTTGTTAAATTTGAATTATGTAAACCGTGCAAGTTTCCGTCCGACTGAAAGACGTCTTAAAGACGTCTTTGAGCTTTCACATTAATATATGGATTTGGTAAGACGTCTTTAAGACGTCTTAAGAACGTCTTTGAGCTCTCACATTAATACGTCTGAATTATGGCTTTTGCAAGACGTCTTATAAGACGTCTTAATAACGTCCTAGGACCTTGAGACCTAACCAAGACACAAAAAAGACGTCTTTCAGACGTCGTGTGCTATCTGGGTTTCACCCTTTATGGAAATTGATATCCAACAGTTTGCAACTTGTGTTATGCAGAACTTTGGCGAAGACATCGCTGCAACATAAATGGAAGTAATTGAGTTTCAAAATGATTTAGCCTTAAAATCGTTAGTCTCAAGTACCAAATGTATCTGGCCTATTGTAAGTAAAGACAAATATTCAGTTCTATGCCGTGTTGCCTTGAAAGTGAAAGCATTATTCAGTTCAACCTATTTGTGTGAATCTTCTTTTTCCAATATGAAGTTTATTAAGAACAAATATCGCAATCGACTTACAAATGAACATTTGGATAATTGTATTCGAATGGCTGTATCAAATTATACTGCAAACATTAAAAAAATTATCGATGAGTCTGAGTGTCAGCCTTCTCATTGAACGTGCTTTTTTATTTTTCAATGTTTATGTTCATGATAGTGCGTTACTTTTTTGTTGTTATTATTAACTATTTTTAAATCTTACGTGACATGCCGTTGTGGCTGGATAAAAGTTTGTGTTTATTTTTCAAACACCTTCGTTTGGTAGGTAGGAATGTAGCTATGAACAAGTACGTACTAGTAATATCAGTTATTTTGTTATTAGTTTATTATTAGTACCTAAGTATTATGTATTACCAGTTAAATAGTAAAATAAATACATATAATGATAAATTAACTGTGGATTATTTCATTTACGTTGCGTTACGTAACTTCCGTGTGGGTAGCTCGCTGTTAATTCCAAAATTAACACATTGAGAGGTTGGCGACCACTGCTTTAATCCATCCTGCGGTGTGAACTGATTAAATTTTGGATATAGCCGAAACATCTGGGGGAGGTACTTTATAGAGGGTCATTTTT